TTTACTACTCCTCCAGTACACTGTGCACCACCTCTTCTCTCAAAAAGGAAATTCCTATGCAGCCATAAAAAAGGATGAGTTTGTGTCCTTTGTAGGGACATGGATGCAGCTGGAAACCATCATTCTCAGCAAACTATCGCAAGAACAGAAAACCAAACACCGCATGTTCTCACTCATAGGTGGGAACTGAACAATGAGATCACTTGGACTCGGGAAGGGGAACATCACACACCGGGGCCTATCATGGGGAAGGGGGAAAGGGGACGAATTAATGGGTGCTGATGAGTTGATGGGTGCAGCACGCCAACATGGCACAAGTATACATATGTAACAAACCTGCACATTATGCACATGTACCCTAGAACTTAAAGTATAATAATAATAAAAAAAAGGAAATTCCTAGCTAACTTTTCTCACCACCAACAAGGCTTATCTGCAAGTTTTTTTATTATCTTACTCAGAGCAAGTCACATTCTTATTTGTGCTTGAAGCTAGTTATTTCACATAGACTCTGGATCTCATTCTCTTCCGTTTCAATAGGGGCCTCTCTTCTTTACCTATGTCTCTTAAAAATTTTATTCTTATTGTTTTTTAGACTTTTTCTCTAAGGTTTTGTCTGTGGTCACATATTTATCTCTCTCTTTTTGAGCAATCTTATTTACTCCATAATTTCAGCTGCCACATATATACTGGAATTTTTTAAATCTACATCAACAGGTTTCAGAATGCCTTTGAAACTTCAGACAGGTCTACCTAATTATCTTCTAGATTCCTCCTTTTCTCTTTTCCTTCTCACCCATTAGTCAATAAGTTCCAACAATTTTACTTATTAACTCTTTAAGTTAATAAGTAAACTAAGTAAACTTATTAGTAAACTTATTAGTAAAATAAGTAAACTTATTAACTCTTTAAGTTAATAAGTAAACTGCCAAATCATTTAAAACACAAATGTAACCAAGTCCTCCTATGTTTAAAATCTTTTAATAGTCCTTATCATATTTGGTTTAAATGCAAACTCCTTGACATAACACACAAACCTTTTCATGATTTGACCCCTGCATTTATCTCTCTAGTCTTTTATTTCCCAAAGTGTGTTCAGAAAAACGCTTACTCTGTGAAAAGTCTGGCACGATGAGGTGGAGGAACAGGAAGAGAATGGCGGGCTTTATCAAGTTCAAATCCATTTGAGAAACTAATGCTTTAGTATTACCTTTTAGAGAAGTGGTTCTCAAGTTGGTTCCTGGAGCAGAAGCACCAGCATTACTTGAAAGGTCATTCTCAATACACATTTTCAAGCTTTACCCTAGACCTAATGAATCAGGAACGATGGGTCCCAGGACCTAGCAACCTATCTGTGTTTGTGAGCTTTCCCGGCAATGCTGATGCACACTAAAGTTGGAGAACCACAATCTTAGAGAATCACCATGCATAGTAGCATATTAAAGGCTTCAGGAAATCTGAAAATAATGTATTTAACTTTGTTTAAGCAAAAATTTTTAAGTTGGTTGAGCCCTGGCCCTTGTGTGTGTAAGTACGCGATACTAACATAGAGTAGAAGAAACATTAGAGAAGCACACTTCATCAAAAGCTGTTATAGCCCATTTTACTAGTAATTATTCAAATATAGTAGGCATCTGTCATGTGTTTTTGTGTTTACGTAGCCTGTCTTTGCATTTTTCTTTTCTTTTCTTTTCTTTTCTTTTTTTTTTTTCTGTGATGGAATCTTGCTCTGTTGTCCAGGCTGGAGTGCAGTGGCGCTGTCCTGGCTCACTGCAACCGCCACCTCTCAGGTTCAAGCAATTCTCCTGCCTCAGCCTCCCAGGTAGCTGGGACTACAGGCACGGGCCACCATGCCCAGCTAGTTTCTGCATTTTTAGTAGAGATGGAGTTTCCCTATGTTGGTTAGGCTGGTCTCCAGCTCCTGACTTCAGGTGATCCACCCACCTCAGCCTCCCAAAGTGCTGGGATTACAAGCATGAGCCACTGCACCCAGCCAGTCTTTGCATTTTTCTACCAAATGTCTCCTCCCAACCCTAGTCTTGTCAGCTCCTTAGAAGCAGCATTTCACAATTACATGTTTATTGAATGAATACATTGAATGCCCCAGAAATATTTTATAACTGTTTTTAAAGTATTGTAAAGTTCCACTAACTTGAAGATATCATTTGTTATTTCAGTACTTTCTTTTGCATGTAATGGCTCTTTCTATATATTGATCTCTTCTTGATGGAATATATTTATATTTTCTTATCTGATATCATGAAAGTGTAATATACATCCCATCAGCTTGTCTGTAAAAGCTTTTCTGTATATGCTTTTCTGTAATGAAATATCCTTTGTAAACATGACCATTGGAACTTTCTTCAGATAATCCTATAACCTGGCAACTTTCCACTTTCAAAAATTACCTCCCCATTATACCCTTACAGATTTTCTTTAAAGTCTGTTTCTTCAATAATCTATTAACAAAATAATTTTAATCACTTTTAATCACTATTATAATAATCACTATAATTATGATTGATTTACTGGGTCATATTTTAATGAATGTGTTTTTATTTATTATTAAATGATTTATAATTACCATATTTTCTTGATATAACAAATTGTTATTTCATAACATTATTCATAGTAATGTTTCAATCAGTATGAATACACTTATTATAAGCTTTTCTTAATTTCTACTATCATAACCTTAATTTTTCCGATCATAAGGTTAATGCCCTATTAGATTTCTAGGGTACATTAAAAAGTTTTACACAGATAAAATTAATTCTTAAGAAATTTATAATACACCAGATTAGACCTCATCCCTTAAGCATGCAGTCTCTTACAATGTGCTATTAAAGTAGGGAGAGCCTGATTTATGATAGTATTGTGTGCTATGCAAAAACTTAATGATTCAACATCAAGTTTGATTTATTCTAAAGCAACAAACATAGTAGAATGTGAAAAATAGCATCATCAGTAATCTTCTGGTGTCATAAAAAAGAGTGATGGAAGTACAATTTGTGACAGGTAAGGGATTTGGAAATGAATACATATTTCAACTACTTCTGTCTCTCCTCTTTTCCATGTCACTCTTAGCAAAATGATGAGAAGCGACTGTGATGTTACACATATCATGTATAATAATTTTATTTCATTTAATCACATTACTTAAAACCTATAAGACATATAGTTTGGCTATGTACATATGACGATAATTAATGATACTGTTCTAATACCAAATATCTCCCCACCGTGGCCATTGGAAGCAGTTTTATTTATAACCTTCACAATGCACCAGGTTATCTGGATTTCTAAATCCTTTAAAAATCCATTGAGCTTAATATAATGCACAAATAATTACATTATTGTGGTGGTAACAAAATCCTGTTCACAAAATAAAAATAAATTTTAATAAAAGTTCTAACTTAAAAGACAGTAAAGCTTGATATTTGTAAGCCTGCATTACTGCCCATTACTTCCTAAAGTTGACTGACATAATGAAGGAATTGAAAGAGGAAGCTTGCCAAGAACTTTCAAGTTGTTTTCGGGGATCACATGTACATACTTCTTAAGATCTTTGGAGACTGCTTATAATTCATTCTGGACATTTGAAGTATTTTATGTCAGCCACTATTTTTTTTACCATTTTAATTTAGTTCTGCAAGTTTTAACATCTGCTGCATTTCAAACATAAATGTAAATCAACGACTCTTGGATGTACCCTAGGGAAATACATGCTCTTAAAAGTACATTATAGTCTAAGACTAGAGAGGTCTCTAGTATTGAGTGAGTTTACTATAGGGCTATCTTTTAAGTTAAGTGAGAATAATAATTAAATGACAACTCAACAGAATATGGTTACATATCATGATTTGCACTGGAAAATACGCATATACAACCATTCAACTGAGAGGGTAGCTGACCTGGTTACGGAAGACATGGCAATTGGATATGGCAATAGTTTGGGCCAAATAAAATCTAATACTCATTTTACACCAGAGTCTTTGAGTTTCCGGAGCCATAAGTTGATGTTTTCAAATATCCTGCACCTATAAGCTTGCAAAGGATTTAGCAAAAATTTCCATACACTTAAGTGAAAATTTATCTCTGCCTATTTTTTTAACCCAATTTTAACAAGTAAATATAAAAGAAGTGCTCTAAAGGAACACCCACCAAAATAAATGACCAAATTAACTTATCTAGATGTTGTAAAGAGTTGCATATGTTGAGTATGAAATTTATATGTGCAACATTCAAGATTGTTATTGTACTCTGTTAACCTCAAAGTAAATCTAGATCATCCTATGTCACATTCTGCTTTCTAGAATGACAGTTGACGATTTTGAGGACAGTGGTAAATTAAGAAAGATTCAAAGATGTTTTTAAAAAAGGAAAAAAGAGAAAAAGGCAAACACAAAATTTTGGTTATCTAGATACATTTGTGTGTAAGAAGGGAGAGTTTAAGTCATTAATGTTGCATATGTATTGTGGGATTTAACAGTACTGAGTTTGCAACCAGGCAGCTGTCGGTTCGGCATACTTACTACTGATGTAACTGAGCAAAATATTTAGACAAGATAAATTTTATGCACACATACTTGCACGTACACACAAACACACACCTTTGCACACACAAAATTCAATTTTCATCCTTGGAAGAAGCCACATTAAAGGCATAATTTCTATAATAGTAATTCTTAAGGTCACGAACTATAATCATCAGAGGGAGGAAAAACCTCCAATCCAGAACAACAACAATAAAAAAAGCAATGGAAGTTAAACCAAAATTTAAAAAGTGATTGGAAATACAAGCCTGGCCACTGTGAGTTTATTCTATGGGATGCTATTCAATGAAGAAAAGAAACCTGAGTTTAACAGCTTTAACTCCCATAATCTAAGAATTTCATTTCCATAATCATTTTTCTTTGATCTTCTATTTGACAGTGACATCTAACTAAAGTCATCCCATTTAACCTTTTCTTTTGCATGTTGCGTGAATTTGTGAGCAGAGTAAGAAACAGGACATTCCTCGTGAAGATCAGGGACCAACCACCAAGAATTTGGATTTTTGGCCCCAACTTATTACACTGATGGTCACTATTATTGATGAGGATAAAACTGCCTACACACCTGTCCTGAATCAGTAAGTACAATGTTTTGGAAATGAATGGATTTTATTCCACTGAAGTTAAAATAATACATATTTTAAGTGCAACATACTCTGATGACAATAATAAACTTTTCCATGATTAAGCTATAGAAAATGGTAATTTTCAACTTTTATCAGCAAATATCAATTAAATGATATTATGAATTTTTAATTTGAGCTCCATGGAGTATGAATCTGTGGATATGGAGAAAAATATTTTCCAAGATTTGATTTTTATGTAATGTAAAACTTTTCCTCTGGATCCTTTCATAACTATACCATTGTCTCAAAAGAAAAAAAATGTGCACACCCCCAAAACTAAAAATAATTTTGAAGAGTTAGTATTAAACATATTGCATTGTGGCTTTTGAATAATAAACATTTGGCACAACAGCTGCTTTCAAAATAGCTATGCATATTGATTTAACAAATTTAATAAAATATTTAATAAAACAAGTCAATTTTCACAAATTACAATCTAAAGTTCATGCCTCTAAGACAATATAGATGAATTAAAATTCATGACTGTTCTAGAAGAGACTGTAAAAATCCTCATTTTATCAAAATACCACTAGCTATGTGACCTTAGGCAAATTATCTAATTTCCTTGGGTCTCAGTTTCCTCCCAACTAAAACAAAGGTGTAATTATTAGATGATTTCCAAGATCCTATCCAACTTTAATATTGCATATTTAGATTTTATTTTACACCCACATATTAAAGACCATAAAAGCAAATATAACATCAGACTACCAGCTAGGCACTTGCAATCTGGTTAATGAAGAGGATTGTCTTGACAATATTAGTTAGACCTGAAATGTTATGGGTAGCAAAGATAGCAGAAATAGACAAACAGTAAAGTAGAACAGTGAAGTAGACTCAGACTTACTATGGATAAATGTGTTTGGTATTCTTATCCTCTACACTGGTCAAGACCATTAGGGTCGTTGTTTATGTTGGCTCCAATTAAAATTCCAATTAAAGAAGAAATACATTTAAGTATTTCAATCTTCATCCTTTTCTGCTTACTGTTAACCACCCATTTTCAACAGTCCCCCAATTCCTAATTGTGGAGAAAGTGGTCCTATTTTTGGTATACAATCATCATTACGTTAAGTTTACCCTTTCACTTTCTTCTCCCTTTTTCCCCAAACCTAATTCTTATATCCGCCTTTTCTTCCTGAAGGCCTTAGTGTTTCAATCTCTGCACAGACTTTGCTCTTTTATTCTCTGCTGTTAGGACTAGAAGATCTTCTCTTAATCTATAACCTGTCATCATCTCATTACGGGTCCTGAGAAGTACTTCTTAGGTCTCTGACAACTTTGTGGAATAGGATTGTTTTCTTATTTACTCTTTGGACCTTTCTTGAGGACAGAGTAGGTTTCTGAAAGATTGGGAGACTGACAACTTATTTCAAGACTGTGTCCTTGGACTGGGATAGGCCATTTTATAAATGGATGCTGGATGAAAACAAACTTCTGCTGAGAAACACAAATTCAGTTCTATGAAGAAACTTTGGCTTTAATAATCAAAGAAATTTTTTATGTTTACCAAGTATCTTCAATCAGGATATGACCAGTAAAATACATTATAAAATCATGGAAGAAATTAAAATATCCATGATTTATTTTTAGTGATATACCTCAAAATATATACAAAGATTTTAGTTGATTATATGTAACTATAGTAAAGGAACTGGAATAAATAATATTTATGGCAAAAATATATTTATAATTGTGAACTAAATTAAGCCTAGTTATACAAATTAGCAATGACATATGGGGAGAGAATTGTTTTTGTTTTTGGTTTTAATTTTGTTTTTAATGTCAGAGTTTAAGTCCACTTTTTTCCTTTGAAAACTTGTCCCTGAAAAAAAAATGCCTTCCTCTATTTGGAATCCATTATTTATTATTGTGTTTGGTCAGATTTTAAGGATGCTGTAAAGCTTTTTTTGCATACTGAAGATTATTCAATTTAGTTTCTCACTTAATTTAATAAATGCTTTAAGTGAACTCATCTGGAGACTGAGATGGGGTCCTGGTGGCCAGTGTTGCATCTGTATAATGTGGTGAGATTTTCATTTATATCTGTTTCTTTGTTTGAATACTGTATTGTCACATTTATGCTTCATTAATCGTCTCCTTGGCTACTTAAACTAATGCAGGATTTCACAAAGTAAAAATTCCAGACCACTAGAGTAAGGATCACATGGACTACTAGTTGGATTTGCAGATCTTGAGCCCCACCCCAAATCTATGGATTCAGAAAACCTGAAATTGACACAGAAATCTGCAATATTAATAAACAATCCCTGTTATTGTGTCTTATGGTCACTAACAATGAAGGCCCAGATCAATATGTGAAGGACATGTTAAAAGTAGCTTGAGTTTTGTTTTAGAGGCAAAGGCAAGTGAATTTAATGATTTTAAAACATAGGACATTTTAAAATATCTTTCAATGTAATGCATAATTATTGATTCAGATCATTTAGTGAAGTTCTTATTGTTATCATGAGCTTGAGAAATCATTGTAGGCTTTTGCTTATTCAAATTTGATAACAAGTTTACAGTAACAGTAGAATATAAGCATGAGGGAAAAGAGTTCTATTTTGTTGACTAATGTATATTCAGGCATACATATTTGTTGAATGAATTAATAAATTAAAGTAAATTTATACATGTAGTCAGTATCTGTTCTGTTCCCATGTTGTTGATTTATTAGTGAAATACAGTATTTATTTGAATAATATTTTCTCAATTTTTAAAATTATAATGAATTTTAGATGTTTTAGAAATTTCAATATTTCATTAAAACTAAATAGTATTAAGCAGAGTACTTCAGATTTAGGTCTCGGTTTCTGTCTCTCTTTCTCTTTCTCTCTCTTTCTGACAGGTTTATTGAGGTATAATTGAATATAATACAATTTCATGTACTTAAATAGTATAATTTGAATAGTTCTGGCATATGTATTTAACCACAAAATTATCACTATTTTTAAAATAATGAAGATAGCCATTACCCCAATAGTTCATCCACTTTTATAATTCATCCACTCCTCCACCATCCCCAGGCAACCCCTTATCTGCTTTCTAGTACTATGAATTAGTTTGGAAATGTTATCATTATGTGTAAATGTATTCATAGATTCTCTCCATTCTTTTGTCCAGCTGCTTTTATTCATTACAACTATTTTGAGATTCACCCATGTTATTTTATGTTTCCTTTTATTTTTGAGTAGTATTCCCTTATACATATATACCACAATATGTTTATTCATTCATCTGTTAAAATTTGTATTTTTTTCAAGATTAGGTTGCTATGAATATTTGTTTATAAGTCTTTCTATAGACATACTCTTTTATTTCTCTTAAATTATGTGGTAAGTATGTATTTAATATTAAAACTGCCAAACTGCTTTCCAAAGTGGCTGTACTATGCCAACAATTGGTTTGATAAATCTTTTAATTTTACCTATCCTAATAGGCATATATGATCTAACTATGATTTTGATTTGCACTTTCTGAATCCTAGTGATACTGACTGTATTTTTATCTGCATATTTGAAATTCATATATCTTCTTTGGTGAAATTTCTGTTAAAATCATTTTCCCATTTCCAAATTAGGATGTTTATCTTATTATTGTTGAGTTGTAAAGGTCTGTACTAGATAAAGCTCTGTCATCAGAAATAAATGTTGCAATGTATGCTTCTAGTTTGTAACTTTCTTTTCCATTATCTTACTAGTGCCTTCTGAAGAGCATAGTTATTGCATATTTTTTAAATTTTGATGGAATAGTCCAATTTTTTATCAGTTTCTTTTATAGTTTAAGCTTTTAAAAATTTCTATTTTAGAAATCCTTGCAATCTGCAGTCAGTTTGCAACACCACAGTTTTCTTCTAGACATCTTACATTTAAGTCTATAATTCATTTCAAGCTAATTTTTACTTGTTAACTAGTGTTATAATCAAGTTTAACTTTCTTTGGGATCATTTTCATATGGTTATCTATTTTTTATCTCTACCTGTTGAAAATTATTCTTTCCTCATTGAATTGCTTTGGCACCTTGGTGAAAACTCAGTTGACTATATATGTAAGAGGTTAATTCTGAAGTTCTTTGTATTCTGTTCCATTGATCTATATATCCGTAATTACACCAGTACTGCACATCTTGGTGACTATCATTTTCTAACATATCTTGAAATATTATAGTAAAATTTATTCAACTTTATGTATATTTTTGAAAATTGTTTGGCTCTTCTAGCTCCTTTGCAATTCCATTTAAATTTGTATCAGTTCATCAATTTCTACAAGAAAAATGTCTGCTGGACTTTTGAGTGATATTGCATTAAATGTATAAATCTATTGGGGAGAAATGAAAACAGCAATATGAATTTTATAATCCATGAACATGGTATGTACATGCATTAAGGTCTTATTTAATTTTTTACTTTAGTGGAAAGGTGTTGCATATTCTTTGTTAATTGGTTTCTAAGTATTTTTATTACTATCTTAAATAGTATTTTTAATTCCAATTTCCCATTCTTTGTTAGTAGTACATAGATACACAAATATATATCTTCAGCCTTCCTAAATTTACTTTTTTGTAGGTTCCTTGTGATTATTTAAATACATCATATTCTTGTCTAAAATAAAGATGGTTTTACTGATATCTTTCCAATTTGGATGCATTTTATTATTTTTCTTGCCTTATTGCTCTGGCTAAAATCTTCAGGACAATGTTGACTAAAATTAGTGAAGAGCAGACATTCTTGCCTTATTCCTAATCTCATAGGGAAAGCATACAGACTTTTACCATTGAATATCATGTTAACTAAATGTTTTTCATGAATAATTATTTATCAGGTTGAGGAAGTTCTGTTCCATCCTTATTATTCTGAAAGTTTTTATCATGAAAGGATGTTGGATTTTTTCAAATATCTTTTCTGCTCATAATAGGGTAATCACACAATTTTGCTTTTCAACCATCAGTAT